TTGAATTCCAGCTCTGATACTTGCTGTGTGGTTTGGGATAAAGTACTTCATTTCTCTGGGCTGCAGTTTCCTTATCTACAAAATAGAGATCACCATTTGACCTCACTTTTAGGGCTGCTGGATGGCTCTCATTTGCTAAATGGTGCAGTGCTCGTCCCCTGGTGCCCCGCCTCTGGAAGGCCCTCCGAGAGTGGTGGTTAGGGGGATCCTGTTATTATTACTGGCTCAGGCACGTGGTCTTCTCCACCTTGGCATTTTGGATCAGACCATTCTTTGTTGCATCCTGAGCATGTTGGGATGTTTAGCAGCATTTCTGTCCCCCGCTCACCAGATGCTGTAACAATCATTGCGGAACCCTGGGATCACTTGGGTTGTGCAACCACATGTCTCCAGAAATTGTCAAATGACCTCCGCTTGGGAACCTCTGGGCTCGTCCTGGAGGGAGTCAACATGGATGTGCTAGGGCTCAAGGGCAGAATTGAGACCCCAGAAGGGCCAGGAGGAGGGGGCTCTGAGCAGAAGTGGGCCAGAAGCCCCCAGAGATGGTAGGGCCGGCGTTACCCCTGGGCTTCTGTTTGTTTAACAGAATGTACTTTTCAGTTATAAGAGTATATGGGCTGAGGAGAGAGCTCAGTTGGTAGGGTGCTGGCCTCCCGTACACAAGGCCCTGGGTTCCATCCCCAGCACCGCCCCCCACACAAAAGTAGTGTTAAGTTCAGTCCTTGGGAAGTCCACTGACCTGCCAACGGGGGCGGAGCGCCTGTTTGTTCCTGTGCTGGGATTTCTGGGGCTGGCTAATGCAAATCCCCATGTCTGGGTCAATAATGGGCTGCCTATTGTACCACGGGTGCCCCAGAAGATTAAAAGGGAGCTGAAAGATTCCTGTCACCTCGTGACGTTGTCATCCTTGTAACTTGGTGGCACAACGCGTCACTTACCCGTCTGTGGTAATGCTGGTGTTGACATACGTGCAGCCCCACCGGCTCTGTAAAACCATAGGACGTGCAACCGCCTGCGGTCATCACACTCGCTGAGGAGGACAAGGGACTGCTCCTGCTTTGAGTATCCATTATGTCATCTTTCCCTCCTTATTTTGGAGTGTACTCTGCCTACTTATAAAAACTGACCACTGGAGAGCAGCATGCTGTGCTACACTGGCGCAAGTTCATCCGGTTCGTGCTCACAAGCAGAGGTCACGTGGAGAGATGATCCTATGCCCTCTAGCTTCGCAACGAATCCCTGTCATGAGTGACACAGGCAAGCGTCCCATCGTGTGGATATCTGGCACTTAGTTTATCTGTTCATCCAGAGACAGACATCTGGGCTGTCTCCACCTTTTGGCTATTGTGAATAGTGCTCCTCGGAGTCCTGGTGAGCTCCTCTTTTTAAACAGCTTTACCAAAAAAGACTTATACCAAAAAAAAAAAAAAAAGTACCCATTTTGCGTGTTCAGTTTAGCACCTTTTTAAAAAAATACTTTTTTAGTTGTGGATGGACACAATACTTCTATTTTTATGTGGTGCTGAGGATCAAACTTGGTGCCTCACACATGCTAAACAAGCTCTCTGCCGCTGAGCTACAACCCCAGCCCCCCTTTAGCACCCTTTATAATAGTCACGGAGCTGGGCAACCACCCCCAGGAGGTAATTTCAGCAGATCTTTCCTCACCTCCCACCTGCAGCCCGCCCAGCTATTTTCTGCCTCTAGAGATTTCCAGTTCCAGACGTTTCATATAACTGGAATCTTTTGCCACCTGTTTTGCAAATAAATTTTTATTAGAACACAGCCCCGAACATTGCTTTACAGATGGCCTAAGGCTGTTTTTGAGTCACGAAGGTAGAGCTGCAGCTTAGGAGCTCCAAGTCCTGATAGTCACCATCGACTCCTGGACAGAAAAAGTTTCATGACTCCTGATTCAGCCACCTTGAGTTTTTTTTTTTTTTTTGTGTGTGTGTGTGTGTGTGTGTCTTTTTTTTTTTTTTTCTTCTTCTGGTGCTTAAACTGATAAAGGAGCCAAAAATAAGGAACAAAAAGAGGATAAATTAGCCAGGTGCAGTGGTACACACCTGCAATCCCAGTGGCTTGGGAGGCTGAGGCAGGAGGCTCACAAGTTCAAAGCCAGCCTCAGCAACAGAGCCTAAGCAACTCAGTGAGACCCTGTCTCTAGATAAAATACAAAATAGGGCTGGGGATGTGGCTCAGAGGTCCAGTGCCCCTGAGTTCAATCCCTGGTACCAAAAAAAAAAAAAAGGTGGGGGGATGGATAAATTGATGTTAAAAACTTCAGGTCAATCAAAACCAGAACTACAGAGCCCAAACAAGTCCCCCAGCCAGCCAGGCACAGGAACAGCAGAGGCAGGGCCCTCCTCACGAGGGCGGGAAGCAGACCTGCCCAACAGGCAAAACAGCGTTCCCTTCCAGGCCCCATCACTCAGGCCGCCTTGCAGAAGGCCTCCTTCCCCTGGAAGAGCAAGTGAAATCTCCATTGGGGGACGGGTTCCACTGGCCAGAGGCGCAGGCCAGAGAAGCTGGCTCCCTGGACAACTGGCAGATCTTGGTGAATCACAGGATTTCCTGGGGCTCTCACCAAATTACTGCTGGCCCAAAGGGCTCATGATCTTTCATTTTCTTTCAGTGCTGCTCTCCGTGGCTTGCAAGCTGGTGTTCATTCAAAATGTTTACTAAGAACCTTCTAGCAACAGCCACCCTACCAGCTTGGTCATGAGCCAGAGAGGCCTCGGTCCTGCTGGCAAGGGGCTTGAGTGCAGCTCTCTGAAGGCCCAGGGACCCTATGGTGACAGCTGATGTTCATTAGGCACTTACTGTGTACCAGGGACCTGTTCAACTCATTCAGTTCCACGGTGACTCAGGAGATGGGTCATATTTATTAACACCATCATGCAGAGAAGCACAGAAAGGCTGGGGAATCTGTCCAAGGTCTCAGGGTTGGTAGGTGGCGGAGTTGGGACTTGAATCCAGGCAGTGTGGCTTCGGGGTTCAAGTTGAGAGGATGAGGAAGGGCTTCACTGAGGGTTTGGTTGACCAAGTGTTCAGTTGCCCATTTCTTAATCTCGGCTTTTTTTTTTTTTTAATCAAAGTGTACCCGGGGTTCTCCCGTAGGCTCGTGAGTTCTGCTCTCCTGACCCTGAGCGAGGGCAAAAGGGGAGTGGAATGTGCCTCCTGTGCCACCTTCTGCTGGGAACAGCTCCCCACAGGGAGACCCTTCCACTCAGTCCCTACGGGCCATCTTCCTCTGCATGCTCCACTTCTCTAAAAAGGTTCCTCTTACTTCTGCTTGCTCCAGCATCACCTGCAAAAGAAAGAACCTTTTTCTGCTTGATTCCAAGATGCTTTGTAGATTTCTGAGCCGGGAACATTCTCTCTATGGCAACATCTCCCCTTCCTCCTCCTCTCCCCCCCCCCATCTTTCCTTTTGCACTTTATTGAAGCCTCATCGACAATGAAAATCTTTATGCATGTAAGGTGTTCAATGGGATGTTTTGATATATGAATATGTTGTAAAATGATGATGACGATTGAAACAATTAGCCTGTACATCGCCTCATAGAGTTACCTTCTTATTTGTGGCAGAAACACTTAAGATCTATTCGCTCAGCCAATCACAACTGTGCAATACAGCGTCGTTAAGGAGAGCCACAGTGTCCGAGTCTCTCTTTCCAACTGAAGTCTCTCCCTATCTAAGTCTGGGTTTGTTTTTGTTGGATATCATTGGATCTAAGATCTGAGGGGGCAAGAGGTGCTAACTAGGAAGAAGGGAAGAATAGTCCTGCAGGTAGAAGGAGTAGAATGGACAAAGGTCCTGTGGCACCTGGGTGTACTGAGCACCTGAGAAACTAGAAGACTAGGATGCTAAGTGACGTGAACCCAGGCCGGGCACTCAATTGCCCTTTTGTGGCTCATCAACCTTAGGATTTGACTATCCTTGTAGCAGCAAAAAGGTCACTACAGTTCCAGGCACCCTACTAAACCCTTCCTCCAGTTCCTTTGTAAGCGAGAGGAAAATCTTCAAGCACAGACCCCCCTTATACCTGCCCTCGGATCTCACCGGTCAGAATCACACAAGCGCCCCGCCAATATGTAGGAATTGCTGACACAGTTTAGACCAATCATGAGTCATCCATGGGGCTGGGGCAGGGCCTGGCCTCAAGGAGGCAAGAGGTCCTCTGACTTCTGAACAAAATGAGGGTCTCTGGCCAGGAACAGGCGGTCATCTATAAATGCCCAGCGATGGCTGCCAGAGTACCCATACCGGCTGGTGGAGTCTTTCTTTCCTGCTAATGTGAGCCTGGGGAAACTGGGGGAGGAAACTGGCAGGACAGAAGTCACTGTTTCACCCTTTCAAAATACACCTCGATGCCCTGTGCAAGAATTCCTCACAGTAACCGAAGGCGCTGTCACTATTATTATTGCTCTTGGCTGTTATTATCAGCACTAGCAAAAGAACCACAGAACCCCTCTGGGCTCCCTCCTGCTGCCCTGCACAGTGTTAAGAACCCAGTCAAGAGAGACAGGACAGCCTTTCCCACACCCAGGGCCTGCGATTATTACCCTCCTCATGCTTCTGGAAAATCCTGGAAGCAGCCAGACAGATCCCTAGGGGAAGCCTGCTGCCTGGGAGGCGGAGAAAGACGGCATGGGTCGACCTGTCAACCGACGCCACATCATCAATCTCACTAGCTCCTGGTTCCCAGAGATGCTGTCGCCTTGCCCCATGGGTCCTGTGCCTACTCCACCTCTCACAGGTGTGATATGCTTCCAAGGGATTTAAATACTAAGAAAGAAATTGCGAAACAGTGGCCCGAGCAGAAGCCAGCCGCATAGGCGCCACCCAGCCCAGAAGGCATTTTAAACATTGGAACCTTGATCAAAATCAGGAGACTGAGGGCTGGGGTGGGGCTCAGAGGCAGAGTGCTCGCCTAGCAAACGAGAGGCACGGGGTTCCATCCTCAGCACCACATAAAAAGAAAATAAAGGCAATATGTTCACCTAAAATTTATTTTAAAAAATCAGGAGACTGCACAGAAAGTTTCAGGTCTCTGGTTCCTCTTGAAAAACGAGAAGTTCTAGCAAAATAGATCTGCTATGGTTTGGACATGGTTCCCCCCCGCAAAATGCTCGTCCCCAAATGATACCAAAAGGTGGTGGGACCCTTGGGAGGCAGGGTCTCGCAGAAGGTGACTGGGATTGCGACTGCACTCCTGAAGGGGTTAATGCTGGTCTCCAGAGTGGGCCAGGTCTGGCAGGAGTAGGTCAGTCCCCACAAGAGGGAGTTGTTATAAAAGAAGAAGCCTGGCCTCCTGGGTCTCTTGTTTCTTCCCTGATTGTGTGACCTCTTACACCAGGCCACTCTCACATGTGATGCCATCTACCATGTTGTGACATAGCCAGGAAACCCTTTCCAGATTCCATGCTATTGGACCTTCCCAGCCCCCAGACTCATGAGCCAAATGAACCTCTTTTCTTTACATATTATCCAATATCAGGCATTTTGTTATAGCAACACAAAATGGACCAAGACAAGACCCACATGCCCAAGTGGCAGACCCGATGGGAGCTGAGCAGTGGTTCCCTTGTGTAGAACTGTCCACTCCATTGCAGTCTCCATCCAGCTGGTTCTCATGGATATCACTAGTTGTCCCACTGCGTGTTTTCATTAGGAATGTTCTGCTGTGATAAATAGTTTCATCTCTCCTGAGACTGACAAAGGAGGGAGGCAGCGGAGAGGCATTTAGTGGTCGAGGGTGGCTGGAAAGGATGCAGCAATAGTGCCCAGGCATCTCTAGCTCCTGCCAGCACGGCTCTCCCACCCAGGAGGCTGGAAGCTACTCTGGCAGGTCTCAGGCTGGATCCGCAGGTCCACATAGCCTCAGGGACCGAGCCTCATCGTTCTTTCTGCTGTGAACTTCCATCTAGAGATCATATCTGCTGTTGTGTCCCAGATCCTTTGCCACACATACAACATGCAAATCTCATCCAATCACTGCACTGAGCTCTGGAATAGGAACGATCACTCTGCAAGCAAGGTTCAGAGAGGTCAAGTCACTGGCCCATAGCCACATAGCTTGGAAATGGCTGGGAAACTGGGCTGCAGAGGTGTTAACTCTGCTCACATGAAGCCACCCAGCTAACAGATGGCTGAACTGGGATTCTGCTATCCACCCAGAGAGGTTTGACCCCCCAGGGAGGCACTATTGGGAGGCTGTGGAGCCTTGAAGAGGTGGGGCCTAGTGGGAGATCTTTAGGTCACTAGGGGCGTGCCCTTGAAGGGAATTGTGGGACCCCAGTCCCCTCGTCTCTCTGCTGTTGCCTGGCCAGGAGCTGAGCCGTTTTGACCCCTGACCCCCTGCCTCACCACAGGCCCCAAAGCAAGGGAGCCCACTGCCACAAACTGGAGCCTCTAAACTGTGAGCCAGAGTAAACCTGTATAAGTTGGTTATCTGGCCACAGTGGCGGACAGCTGACTAACCCAGGTTCCAGATTACTAGATTCTGTCTCAGGTGTAAATACGTCAAGCGCTTAGAATAGCACGTGGCCCGCAGTGAGTGCTCAACTCATGTTAGTAACTAACCACAGTCATATTTAAAGACTCTTATGGTCATGCTCAGTGAGGGTCACTGGCCCGGAAGGAGGGTTCTGGGTAACTGTGGCCCGTTCTGCCCCATCACATGGCTCCCCAGAGCCCGGGGCTGGACAGAGAATCTGGGGCTGGACTGATTTCCAAACCCATCCCCAGCTCCAAGGCCACGATGTCCCACTGGGTGTCGGTGACAGCCCTCTCCCTCCCTCCCCCACACCCACACCTGGACCAGCTGCTTCTACACAGCAGGCTCTGCGTCCCCATTTCAGCTGGTTTCAGGTCCTAAATTTAGCCTTTTCACAGAAGCCAAAGAGCTGGTGGGTGAGGACGGTGTCTGGGGAGAGGTGTCCTTGTCCCGCGACAATGGAACAACGAGACTCTAATTTACAAAGGATGGAGATGTATTTCTTGTCGTTCTGATGTCAGGGGGCCAGCTTCGGGGGAAGGCCTTCCACCTGCCTCACCCTGTGGCAGGGGGAGGGAGGGTGGGGGAGGATGAGGAGATGGGGGGGCAACAAGGGTCTTTTTTTTTGGTACTGGGGATTGAATCCAGGGGTGCTTGACCACTGAGCTACGTACAGCCTCAGCCCCCCCTCTTTTTTTTTCCTTTTGAGACAGGGTCTTGCTAAGCTGCCAAGGCTGGTCTTGAACTCGGGAGGCTCCTCCTCAGCCTCACGAGTTGCTAGGACCACAGGCGTGCGCCACCATGCCAGCTCACTGAACTTGCTTTTTATTTGCCCTAAACTTGCTTTTATAAGAAACTTACTCCCCAAATAACAACTCTGCAGTCACGACCTTAATCCGCTAAGGAAGGCTCCGTCCCCAGGACCTGAACACCTCCAGGGGACCCCACCTCTCCACACTTGCACTGGGGATTAAGTTTTCAACTTTGGGGGATACACTGGGACCAAGCAGGCTTCCTCATCCGTAGGGTAGCAATGGGAAGCTGGCCAGTCGAGGTGGACCAGGAGAGTGGGGTGCTGTGCTCTGTTGTCATGTACTGGCAAGTCATTTGACCCTGTGGGGCCTCAGTTTTCCCATCTGGCAACTAAAATTCACATATATTGATTCCTTAAGTCACCATGTTCTCTCTTAATATAGAACAACTTTCCTTTCTTTCATATGAGGAATAAGATCAGAGAGGGTAAGTGATTTGGCTACACCCACACAGCTAGTGAATGCTTTGAGTCTGGATCTTTTGACCCTAACACTTGGACTCTTTTCACCTTTAGATTCTCTTATCTTCATTTATATTATGGGATTATTATGATAGAGAACCCCCAAATAATATATTTTTTTTATACTAGGGAAGCACCATGGTTTTTTGGTTGAAAGCCAGGCTGCCTGGGTTTAACTTCTAGTTCTGACACTTATTAGCTGTGTGATCTCAGACAAATTACTCAGTCTCTCTGTGCCTCAGTTTCTCTCATCTGTAAGATAGGAAATGATAATTATACCCATTTTCAATAGGATTGTCAGGAGGATCAAATGAATTGAAATTTTGTAAAAATACTTTCAACAGTGCCTCATACCTAGGAAAGGTTAAGTGTTTGCTTAATTTAAAAAACAGGGTTGGGGATGTGGCTCAAGTGGTAGCGCGCTCACCTGGCATGCATGAAGCACTGGGTTCGATCCTCAGCACCACATTAAAATAAAATAAAGACATTGTGTCCACCTAAAAAACTAAAAAGTAAATATTAAAAAAAAAATAATAACTCAAAGCCAATCAGCCACGTGACCTTGAGCAAACACAGCATCTTAGAGACACATGTTCTACTTTGGGCTCAGCCAGTCATTTGCTTTGTGACCTCAGAAACTTCTTTTAACCTTTTTTTTTTTTTTAATTTATTTATTTTTAGTTCTCGGCGGACACAACATCTTTGTTGGTATGTGGTGCTGAGTATCGAACCCGGGCCGCACGCATGCCAGGCGAGCGCGCTACCGCTTGAGCCACATCCCCAGCCCATTCTTTTAACCTTTTTATACCTTAGTTTCCTCAATTCAGAATAAAGGGCTCGGGCAAATTCAAAACCAAACAGCATTTTCTGGACAAAGAAATATCAAATCAGGAAAAAAAATCGAAATGTTTTGGGTCACAATTTCTCACCCATCAGTGTCCACCACAAGGAACACTCCAGGGTCGTGGGGGCTGCTGGGGCCTACCCATAGACCCTCCAGCAATGGTCTGTCCTTGCCCGGAAGTGGGGTGCCTTGCCCTTCAGGGGCTGGGATGACCTTGCAAGTGAGCTGTGGGGATTCTTGGGTGCTCCGGCTGGAGGTCTGTGAACTCCTGCTGCTGCCGGCCACAGGATGCTGGCTCCTGCCCTTCTGAAACCTGTCTCCTTCACAGAACTCTGTCCCACCTACGGATTAGTTAACTACTGCTGCAAAAAACCCCAGAATCTAGAGGCTTACGACGATTTCTTCAGGTTCTGTGGCTGACTGGCTGGTCCCTCTGCTGGTCTCACCTACGGAGTTTGCGTGGCTGTGTTCATCTGTGGGGGAGGGGCCGCTGACCTCAGGTGGGAAGCAGGCAGCAGTGGAAGCTCTGGGCTTAACGAAGGCCTTAGAAGCTGAGTGATCCGTTTTCTGTTGAGCAAGTCACAGGTCAGCCCTGACCCGCGGATTCAATAGACTTGGGCGGGGGTCAGGGAGACAGTAGGTGCTGGGTCGCAGCTCAGCACTATGGAAAGCGGAGCCCCCCTCTGAATCCTGTTGCCTCCTCCTTCCTGTGACCCTCTGAGCCTCAGTGTCCTCGTGTGTAAAATGGGGGGCAGATGGCCTGCACCTTGGGTAGGGGAGCACCGAAGATGAGTGACGGAAGCAGAGCCCCAGGCAGCAGCCATTGGCCCCGCACCTCCCAGGAAGGAGCCAAGGAACCCTGGATCTGGACCCACCCCTTGTCCTAAGAGCTTTTGTTCCCAGGGCCATGCTCCCAAGTCTCCTTGGGGACGTGTGGCCTCGCCCTCGGTGCACACACAGGGGGGCTTTCGCTGGCTTTTTATTAAAGCGCCCAGAGCCTGGGGTGACGGCCCACCAACTTCATGAGAACCGCCTGGGACGTGGGGGCTGGAGGGGACGCTGGCCTTCCGCTGCTGTTCCCACGACACCAGATACCACCCCAGGAGGCGCGAGGTGCGAATGTCCAGTGGAAGGGACAGGGCAGTGCAAGGAACCCTGAGGCTGTGGCGAGGGGCCCCCTCTGGTCTGGTGGTTTGTGCAGAGGCCCTAGGTGGCGGGGCCCAGCCCCCGGTACAGGACTAGAGGCCAAGGGGGCTTGCCCGTGCCCCCACTATGCCAGGGGTGCCACCTCCGACCAGGGACACTGACTTTGTGGCGCCCGGCCTTATCTTGAACTTGCCCACCTCCAGGACTGAGGACTCAGCTCCTGCCGTTCCTCAGCTGCCTCTTGTGACGTGCTGTTGTAGGAGTCCCGGGGACCAAGGCAGGGACAGGAAGTTCTGTGAACCCCGAACTCAGGACCTGAGGACCTCAGGGGAGAATGTGTATGTGCTGATCTTTTCATGACGGAGAGGCTCAGAGCAGGGAGGGGCAGCAGCCTGTGCAGAAGCTTCCCCTCTGGCCCCGCTGCCCCTCCCGGGGATGGAGGCGTTGGGGGAGGCAGAAGTGGCTTCCAGAAGACTGTCACTTCAGCCAGGTACCTGTGCCAGATGCTCGGAGACCAGAGTGGCCCTCCCAGGGCAGAGGTCTCAGGCAGGTTCATCTCAGCCCAGGGACCGAGGGAGCTGTTCATGTCTCCACTTAACCTGAAAGAGACATGTGGTTCCCTCACGTTCCAAAGCTGCAAAGCCTGGGCACAGAGGTGGGCGCTTTCTCAAGACCCAGCCCATTCCCAGGGTCAGGCACAGGCACAGGTGACCCTTCACCTGCTTTCGTGGCTTGCTGCTTTCAGCACAGAGAATGGGGTGCACTGGTCCACTCCCCCCTGGGCTCATCCCCACAACCTCCCAACACAGGCTGGTTTGCGGGGCCAGCGCTACCCTCCTGCCCAGGGCCTGGGAGATGTGAGGTGACCGACTAGCTTTGGCTGGCTGTTGGGGTCACGCCATCTCCCTTGAGTACCAGTGAGACTTCACTTCACCAATACTACCCTTGAGGTGGCAGCCCTGTCCAACCCCAGGGGTGACGTGGAGGTAGAGGACCTGGTGGGGGACGGGCAGGGTGCTCCCCTCAGTATGGTGTCCATAAATAGGACAGGGGTGGGGACAGGTTTGGCAACTTTCTGATCTACTTGGAACACTGGCTCCTTTTCAGCCCCATATTCTGATCTGGTCTGTAAACAATGCCCACTGCACCCTGGGGTCCGCAGGGAAGCCTTCGGTGCCGTCCCAGCCCCGACTTCACCCTTGGGGCTGGTGGCCGCAGGTCCCTGAGGAGGCTCACACCCCCACGGTGCTCTTCTCGCCCTCTCTGGGGCCGGGGTCCTCCTGACTCTTCATCTCCCAGCCCCGGACCCAGGTGTAGGCGGAGGAGCCGCCCAGCACCATGGCGTTGCTGGTCCACCAGAGGAAGCTCTTGGTTTCTTCGAAGTAGAGCACGGCTAGCACCGTCTGGGCGCAGGCCTTGGCTGTGCCCGACACGTTGTGGGTCAGGGGACTGGTGAACTTGATCTGCAGCCCGGTCACGTAGCCGATGGCGAAGCCGAACAGGCCGCCCAGCGTCATCATCCCCCAGAAGTGGGCGCTGTCCAGCTGCGCGAAGTCCAGGAGGGCCTGATGCTCCCCGAGCAGCAGGAGCAGGGGCAGGAAGAGGGCGCAGGCGTTGACGTTGTTGTAGAAGGTCAGGCGCCAGATGCTGCCGTCCACCGCCGGGAGCACCTTCTTGGTGTAGATGGCGTTCAGCGAGACACACAGGCTGGCCAGCACCCCAAAGACGGTGCCCACAAAGGACAGGGTGCCCTCGGCCTCCTCCTGGTCCACACCCAGCCAGAAGCCACCTGCAGCAGGGAGAGGGACGGGGTGGGGCAGAGGGGGAGGAGCACCGTGAGGACTGACGGCAGACAGCACCCGGAGGTGGAGTGGCACAGCGCCCACCGGAAGGGACAGGGCAGTAAAAGCTACCTGGAGGCCAGGAGGCCGAGGAGAAGGGCACGTGGTCGGAATGTTTGCCCAGGTTCATGCAGCAGGCCTGCCCTCAGGGACAGGGGCCTCAGGGACGGGAACAGTGCTCTCCTGCAAGAGGCCTGTGCCCCACCATGCCCGGTCGGCAGAGGCACCACCTTCGGCCCAGGGGCACTGACTCTGCCCATGTCCTTCCTATCCTGAACTTCCCAGACTCCAGCACCGTGGGGGACTCGGCTCCTGCCGTTCCTCAGCCACCTGGTCTGTGACGTGCTGTCGTAGGAGCCTCGTGGACCAAGGCAGGGGAGGGGGACAGACTCTGACCCCACAGTTCACAGTTCACTGTGTGGCCCTGGCCACGCCCCCCTCCCCATACCTCCTTCCACAAATCCACTGACCCTTCTCCCCCCAGCAAAATCCCAGGGCTGGGGGAGAGGCCCGAGTGAGGCCCCGTCCCTATCCAGCAGAGGGGAACGTCCTTCCACGGACCACTGCCCCAGCTTTAACCTGCCCCGGAAACACTGTGAAGAGGCCATAGGATAACAGCGTGCTGTGCTGGCCCTGGGCATTTGGAAGGAGCAGCTTTGGGATAATGCCACTTAGCGTTAAGGTGACCCTGGGCCTTGGCTTCTTCTCCATGGACCTCATCACAGGAGCATTAAGCTGGAATCACTCTGGCCTGAGGCATCTGGGGACAGTCACCCCAAGACTCACCTCCTGCTCTGAGAGCCTCCACAGCTCCCCGCTGCCCACAGCGAGTCTGCACTGAGCCTGGGCGGGCACACTGGCTTGCTGCACCCTCCAGCCCGTCTCTGCCTGGGGTCACAAGCACCTGAATCTCCCTGCTTCTCACGGGGCCTCAGTGTCCTTGCCTCATGTCTGCCCCAGAAAACGCCTCCTTTCCAGAGGGATTCTACTCACTCTTCAAGGTCAAAGTCGGCCTCTCCAGGAGGAATCCTTTCTGACACCTCCAGCCCTTGACCTCTTAAGCCACTGGCCAGGCCTGGGTTGCTAAGCATCTGATACACTAGTCTCTTCAGCCAGACCCCATGCTCCCAGAAGGTGGGGGCTGGATTTTACACATGACATCTCCTGCCATAGCAGCCAATAAGATGGGGTAGCAGGAACAGCTTTGGTTGTCAGAGAGACCTGCCCTCCAACTGGGCTGTGCATTTCAGAAGCTGAGTGGCCTGGGAGAAGTTACTTAACCTCTCTGAGCTCCAGTTTCCTTCATTTGTAAAGATCTGGGGCACTTTCTTGATTCCCCACTCTAACCAATCTATTCCCTTTTTTATTTTTTGTGGGTGGGGGGATACTAGGGATGGAACCCAGGATGCTCTACCACTGGGCTACCCCCAGCCCTTTTTATTTTTTTTTTGGTATCAGGGATTGAACCTGGGGCACTTAACCACTGAGCCACATCTCCAGCACTTTTTATTCTTAATTTTGAGACAGGGCCCTGCTAAGTTGCTTGGGATTCTCCTCCTTAGAGACACGCCCCACGGCACCCAGCACCTTCCAACTCTTAACCTTGCAACCTGAGGAATTTTCCCACGGCACAGACCTGCCCAGGTCCTGGCACGTGCAAGGCCTCTCTGTGGCTCCCAAATGCTGTCAAGAAAAATTCGGCTCATTCACCTGGGCCACCAAGGCCTGCACCGCATGGTCACCCTTGAGCTCTAACTGGGCAGCCTGGCGTCAGGCAGGGCTTCCCCCAGAAAGTCTGCTTAGATGGCCCCCTCCCCCCTCCCCTTCCTTCAGGGTTCCCCAAACACCTCCTGGGTCCCCATCGCTGCCCTTACCCCCCGGGCAGAGCTGTTATCACTGCCAGGCACGATGGCCAGGCCCTCTGAGTGTGGGAGCTGAGGCTACCTTTTCCAAATTTGTGACACCAAAGCCTGGCACATGCTTAGTGACTAATTAATAGCTGCTGGCTGAACGGCGGGTGCATGTATTAAAGGAGACACAGCTCAACGCCTGGTGCGCACCCGTAGTCCAGCTTGGGAGGCTGAGGCAGGAGGACCGCTTGAGCCCAGGGGTTCAAGACAAGCCTGGGCAACAAAGGGAGACCTATTTCAGAAAAAGGACGGCAGGCACCTATTAGGTCCCAGGCCCCGGACACGCAGTCCTCTTTGTCTTGGCAGAGCCCCGGCACACAGGTACCCACAGGCTGCCGAGGTGGGGCAGAGGGCTGGCTACCCACTCCAGCTTAGCCAGAGCACCCCCAGCCCCCCAGCCAACTGGGACTGCAACCTCAAGGTTCCAGACCCCAGGGGACTGTCCCGCAGAGGGAGCTTTGGAGGTTCTATGTGACATGGGAGGCCAGGAGGAGGGCCTCGAGTGGTAGCTGAGACACAACTTCCCAAAGGAGGAAGGAAGGGGACCTGCAGATACGGGCAGGGCTTGCAGCGGCAGACGCTCTCTCAGCAGCTATCTTGCCAACGGCCACTTGGGTTACTCTGGGGACCTGGGCTCAGTTCCCTTCCGGCACACATATTCTCCCACCAGGAGGCCCACCCCACGCCATGTGTGGCAGAGGCAGAGACACTTAAGTGGAGACCTCTGGGGTGACAGAGAGGAGGTGAGGCCCAGAGGGAGGCAGCAGGGGCTGGGGGGTTCCCTGGGCAGGGCTGCTGGCCACTCCTCCCACGATAACCTTGCCCTTCTCTCTTCTCCCCTCTTGGGCCTAAGACAGAGCAGCCCTAGGTCCAATGGCTGTTCAACCAGGGGAGAGAATTTCGAGGACAGATAGTGTGGAGGGGCCCTTCCCCCTCCACTAGTGCACGGAGTCGGGGACTCTGGGACACCAGGGAAGAGTATGTAGGCCAAATAAGCCACACGTTATGGTGCTGAGGAAAAACCCGAGCAGGTGCAAATAAAGATCCCACTCCTAGGTGGCAGAGCCTAGCGGACCGCGAGGCACTGCAGTGCTGCCCAACCTGACCCTTGGCAATAAGGAAATGTTCTACGGCTTGTGCTGTCCAACACAAGAGCCCCTAGCCACACGTGGCCACAGAGCACCGGAAACGCGGCTGCAGAATCTGGTGATAACCCTTGCACGGGAGGAACCGAATACTTAAAAGTTCATTTAACCAATTTAAATGTGCACGTGGCCAGTGGCTCCTGAATTGGACAGTAAAGCTCTGGCTTCCAGTGTTCAAGAACAGAGCAGACTGGAAGCATAGGCCTGGGAGTCTGGCTAATCCAGGTTTGCATCCTAGCTTGGTTACTTGCCGGCTCTGTGGTCCTGGGCTAGTAAGTTAACCTCTCTGAGCTTCAGTTTCCTCATTGCATGGAGATAGATGATCATGGGATACCACCACACACAGGACTTCTGGGCAGTCGAAGAAGATGTTGTATGTGAAATGAGAGCATAAAACCACTATCAGTAATTGTCTTCTGAGGGTCAAGTCTGAGATGATGGTATCCGGGCTAGCAAGGACAGAGGGTGATGGTGTATTTACTAAGATGCACTGTCCTCTACAAAGAGAGTGGGGTGGGTACTCAGGACACTTGAGCTTTTGGGAAACATGCTACAGAGGTCAAGCGTGTGGCCGCTTGCGTTCACATCCCAGCTTCGCCAGTGATCAGCGTTGTGATCTTGAACAAGTTATTGAACTTCTCCGCGCCCTGGCTTTCCTTCTGTAAATGTGGGTTATAATCCGACCTTGTTATGAGTATTAGTTAATATGGGTAAAGTGCCTGGATATGTATGTCAGTCACTTTTGCTGCCGCTGTTGCTATTATTATTGCAATTATCATTCGGGCCCTCACTGGGCAACTACCTTGCTACATGACCCTGGGCAGTTATGTGTTCTTTCTGGGCCCCAGGCTCTTCCTCTCTGACTACTGAACCAAGGGAACTAGGACAAAGGTGCCTGGAAGGGTTGGTTGCTCTTTACCGTTTGGGTCCCATGCCAGCCCTACCTATGCAGCCCTACCTATTCAGTGGGGCCCCAGCCAATCACTCACCGATGATGATGCTGCAGGTGAGCAGGGCATAGAGGGAGGTGGTCTGCTTGAGCAGCACGTAGGAGAGCAGCACGTTGAAGACAGTGGTGAGAGAGCGGCCCACGTTGTAGAAGGCCACCCCTACATACTTGAGGCAGAGGTTATTGAAGGTGATCATGCCGATGAAGACCACCGACAGTGGCAGGACGCTGCGAGCCACCCTGAGGTCCAGGCGCAGCGTGGGGAAGTCCACAGCACCAGGGCAGCAGGTGGCCAACGTGCTGAGGCCCTTGCATAGCAGCGTGGTCACCAGGCACTGGTAGAAGGTGACGAAAATGGGGGCGTCCAGCCGCAGGGAGGGGCTGTCCAGCAGGTACTTGTTGAGGAACACCATGGAGATGGAAGTGACCCAGTAGAGAGAGACCACCAGAGCGATCTGCAGTGCCCGCAGCAGAAAGGGCTTCTCCCCGCTGCCTGCCTCGGCCTCTCCAGAGGGGTCGGGGGCACCGTTCAGCGCCATGTGCAGGATCCTGGAGCGCTTCAGGGGGGCCCTGTTCATGGTAGCAGAGAGCTGGGTCATAGGGCGGCCAGAAGGGATTCCCTGGATGACAGGGCAGGGAGCTGCTGCTTTCTGCAGGCGCAGCCCTTGTCACATAGGGGTGGCCTAACGGCCTCCTTCCTCCTGGATGAAGTTCTGCTTTGGGGTGAGCACAGCTGTCCTGCTCCACCGCTGGCTCCCTCCCTGGGAGCTCAGGAGAAAGACCCTGGAGGGTGAGCCCGGGACCGCGGTGCAGCGAGGGACCGGGGCTGGGGCCTGGTGGGGAAGCGTCGCTGGGGGAAACCGGGGGAGAGGAGCAGGAGCGGCGGGGGGAAGCGCCGGGATGCGGGGCGGGGCGGGGAGAGGGCCGCGGGCCGCGTGCGGAGGCGGGAGCGAGGCGTGGGCTCGAGGGCGAGGGGTCTGCGGCGAGTGGGGAGCCGGCCGAAGGCGGCGCCGAGGGCGCGCCGCGGGGTGGCGCAGGAGGGGAGCAGCGCGGGTCCCAAGCGCTCGGGGAGCAGGGCTTGGGGATGTGGGTGGAGGCCGGGCGGACGCCGCGCGCGCCTTCCCCGGCGCGGGCTCCCGCTCGGCTCGGCCCCGAAGCCTCCGGACGTCCGAGGCCGCCTCCCGGGCGAGGCGGGCCCAGGCTCATTTCCTGACACGCCCCCAGCCCCCTCCTTAAAGAGCCCGCACGCCCCGGGTTGCTCTTAAAGCCACAGCCTCCCGGAGCCCGCGTTGGCCTGTCTGACCTGCCTCTGCGCCCCAGCTCACTGCCCTGCCGCAGAGCTCTGCAGTTCACAGTCACGGAAGGTTTTTCTGGGTGCTTGAGCTTCGCCCCGTTCCTGGAGAGGCTCTACCACCCTCTCCCGCCCATCCTCACTGTTTGCTCCAGATGCTCCTTCTACTACCCATTTGGCTCCGTTCGGGTCCATCTTCTCCCTCTCTCAGAATCGGGATGCGCCCCAGAGTCTTGGCACCATCTCTACACCTCTTGGCCCTCTACCGAGCCCAGGTCACTTTTCCGGCCCGTGTTACGCCCTCCTGCCTCCTTTTTCACTGCCCCCAGTCCTCTACCAGCCCTATACCGACACGGCGCCTCTCTACAGAGCGCAGGTCATTTCTTCCAGACCTCATTACGGTCCCCCTCCCATTTTCACTGTTCCCACTCCCTCTCCCAAGCCCGAGACGCCCAAGAAACATTCCAGAGGCCGGAGGCCACACTGTCTCTTACAGACATCAGTTCGTCCGCCCCGGTTCTGCATTCGGGACCCTTCTGGTGGGTCGATCCTAGCTCTCAGCCTCAATTCGACACCCCTTTCCTACCCCATTCGGGAAAATACCGTCCCCTCCGCCAGCCCAGCTCCGGTGCCCAAGTCCGCGCTCCCGGGCTGCGAAGGCACCTGGCGCTCACCTCCTCCAGCGCACTGGACGCCGGCCCGCATTACCCTACGTTGCACCTGCAGCGCCGCACCCAGGAGCCACACCCCAGGGGGACAACTTCCTGCTCCCTGCCCGGGTCTCGGGCGCGAAGCCAGCCTTACCCGAAGCTAGCTTCGTCCAGCCCGGAGGCGGCGGGGCGTTATCCAGCCGGTTGTGGGAGCTGATTCCCAGTCTTTCCAAGGCCATTCCCGCCCCCGCTACCCCGCCCTAGCCCGCCTGGGGCTCCTGGATTCTGTTATCGCGGTTGGCAGGTCCCACGACCTGACAGCAACCGAGGCCCGCTGCGCCCAGAAGGATGCGCGGATGATTCCGCCGGTAACCGTAGAGGGTTCCCCGCCCCTCCCAGGGACCAGACCCCTGGGAAGTCAGCCCCCAGGGCGAGTTCTGTTACTGGGCCGCCCGAAGGACAGACTTCTCTCTGTTGTCGCTTTAGCCCCAACATTGAGCAGCCTGTTTCCTCTGGGCTTCAGGCCCCTTCATTGTCAAACTAGGAAGCGGGATGGGGGTGGGGGGGGCAGGGGGGATCCAGGGGTTCTGGCCCTCCTTGCTCAAAACTCCAAGCTTGTGTGGTTGAACAAGGAACTGTCATGTTTGTAATATTTCAAATGCCATTTAAATAAAACGGTTTGTCAAAAGACAAAATTGCAACACAGTTACAGATTGAAATATATATATATATATATATATATATATATATATATATATATATATATATATATATATATATATTTAATGATTCATGGATTAGGGTGGCCTCCATTCTACAGAATGGGCGCTCCCATCAGTCAGGAGCAGACAGTCGGTTTTGTAAAGTAGGAACAAGGAAATTGAACAATAGAAAAAATGGTTTGGTTGACATATAAAATTACTTTAGATTACTCTGTGTGTGTGTGTGTGTGTGTGAGAGAGAGAGAGAGAGAGAGAGAGAGAGAGAGAGAATTAAAGCAGAAAGACCTTATTGTTCTAACTCGGTCAACTGGAATCTCCTGTTTTCAAGAAGAACTGGTCTGTTTTGGGATCTGTTCATTTGAAGTTTCATGTGATCATACTTCATTTAGCACCAGTGACTCTGGCGTGGCCCGGTGGGTTCACCCTTTGGTGGTGCAAAACCAAGGAGCAATTCCAGAAAATAAGAGTGAAGAAAGGTCAATTACCTGCAGCGAGTAGAAAGAGCAGGTAGGGTGACTCCCAAAGCAGTGTCTCTCAGAGCAAAGGAAGCAAGGGACTTTTACTGAGGAGACTTATATCCAAAATGGAAAGACTTGACACTATGGGGGGGGGGGACTTTCCTGCGCATGCGCAATTTCAAACCTTGCGTCTTCCTGTGGGGGCGTGTTCAAAGACAAGGGAGAGGAACACCTCCCGGATGGAGAATTTAGTATTATAATAATAATTTAGATTATAATGAGCAAAATTTATTCTAGGTCCTCTAGAAAAGGGACCATATTCTTCTGGCTGGTCTAAACCTCTTCCCTGTAGTCTTCTCTGGAGGGCCTAAACTGAAGAAAAGCAACTTGAAGGATGTTAACAGTCTAAAAAGGCAGCCGCGTCCCCTCCCACAAGCATAGGTGCTTGCCCCTAAAAGTTCTTACGTAGCAGCTAGTAATTCCATTTTGGTTTGGTCTGGTCTTTTGAGGCCTAGTGTAGGGGTTTGGTCCTGGAATAGTGGCATCCCATAATTTTTGTATAACACTTAATTTGTAGGTGAGATGATGTCATGTCTGGGATTTGCTTTAAAATACTGAGCACTCTGCCAAGAGATTTTTCTTTTTTAAAGGTCAATAGAAAAAAAAATCTAGATAAGCAACATGTTAATAATTATTGGAGCTGGGTACAGGGACATGGGGATTCATTATAAGAGTTTGATAATAAAAAGGTAGAGCCTGTGCAGTACTTTTGAGCTCTCACATGCTGACTGCACAAACCTTCTTCTGAGCTTAACAGTCCTTACAGGGCTTTGGGAAGTGGGAGGGTTACAGGGAAATAAACACCATCTGGCAGCCTCAGAGTATGTCCCAGCTCCCCAGAGTGAGCTCTGCCAGGCCCGGACCTCTTCTACCAGCTCAGGGACACTTTTACTCCCTCTTCCTCCTCCAGGGTGGGACTTCCTGCTTCCTAGTGATGGAGTGGTCTCCACCTGGAGGATACCGTTCCTCACCTTTGGGAAAGGAAAGACTGACAGAGGTGGAGCCCCACCTGCAGAGTGCCCTTCCAGGCCACCCGAGGGAACTGTGGGCTTCTGTTTACTAAAAGCACTTGTCTGCTTATGTCTCTTTTCTTTGAGGCCCATAGTCCACCATGACAAATAATTTCACCTCTGGGAGGTTACCTGGAAGGCCCTCTCCTTGGCGCACTGAAAGAATTAATTTATTTTCTGAATGTGCCACCACCTTCGAGCCTCTGGGAAGGGACACCTATTGTACAGAGGTCTTCACCAAGACGGCCTGGGGATGGTCATCACTGGGACAGTCAGGGCTCTCCACCAGCCAGGAGACCAAGATCTCCGTCTCCATTCTTTCTCCTCAACCGAACCTGAAATTTTACCACTCAGGTCACTGTTGGGTTAAGGTTGTAACCAAGGCCAGTCTGACAGCTTTCCCCTGCTTGATCCTTTGGGTTCCTTTTGGGGAAAGGGGAGGTGGGGATGTTTCCTAGGGGTCCGCAGCATCAGGGGTTGTGGACTCTGTACAAACTGTTTGCTTTTGAGTTTCCCTTAGGAAAACTGCATAAAGGAGGAAGTTTTAGGTCTTGCCAGGGGTAATTGCCCAGGGTGTGGATTTGGTGTGAGACAGAACAAAGGGTCAGGCGAGTGGCAGAAGGGCTGCCATAAGCCAGGAAGTAGGTCACTTGATGGGCAGTGTCCCTTTTTTCTTGCCTTGGCCGGGAGCCAATGATGTTAGCAGGAGACAGTTTCCACTGACAAGGTGACCAGGGCCAAGCTCCCTGGTGCAAAGGACAGTGGATCTGTACCTGCAGGGCTGAGGGTTCCTGGGAACACGGTCATCAACTACGGTCCCTGAGTTCAGCGGAACTCCTGTGCCTACCCTATGTGGTAGACACCACCCATTTCTCTACCAAAATTCGTTCTTCCATTCATCCAAAATAATTGGATTGTAGCTAGTGCCAAGATTGTGCCGCTAGAGACCACATTTCCCGGCCTCTCTTACAAGTGGATGAACCAGGTGACTTTCTGGATGTTGAGGGGAGTGTCTTATTATTTGGGTTGCTACAAGAAAAATACCACGGACGGGTGTGTTTACAGAAACAGCGAACACACAGTGCTTACAGTGACTAGGAAGTCTCAGAGGAAGCTGCTGGCACAGCACACGGTGAGAGAGAGAGGGAGGGAGAGGGAGAGAGAGGGAGGGAGAGGGAGAGGGAGGGAGAGGGAGGGGGGGAGAGAGAGAGAGAGAGATTGACCTCACAGTAGATATTAGGGCACTAATGCCATCATCTGGGCTCTACTCTTTTTTTTTATTCTTTTATTAATTTTTTATTTATATATGACAGTGGGATGCATTACAATCCTTATTACACATATAGAGCACGATTTTTCATATCTCTGGTTGTATACAAAGTGTATTCACACCAATTCGTGTCTTCATACATGTACTTTGGATAATGATATCCATTACATTCCACCATCCTCACTAACCCCCTGCCCCCTCCCTTCCCCTCCCACCCCTCTGCCCTATCTGAAGTTCGTCTATTCCTCCCATGCTCCCCCTCCCTACCCCACTATGAATCAGCCTCCTTATATCAGAGAAAAATTTAGCATTTGGTTTTTTGGGATTGGCTAACTTCACTTAGCATTATCTTATGACCTCATTACTTCCCAAAGGCCTATTCCCAAATACCATCACGCCACAGATTAGGGTTTCAACATATGGGGGTGGGATGGGGGTCAGAAACAAACATCCAGTCCACAGCAGCAGGTGGTATATGCTCCTTCCCAGGTCTAGGCATTAAAACTCTTTTTAGAGGGGGGTACTGGGAATTGAACTCAGGGGCACTCGACCACTGAGCCACACCTCAGCCCATTTTGTATTTTATTTAGAGACAGGACCTCATTGAGTTGCTTACTGCCTTGCTGTTGCTGAGGCTGGCTTTGAACTTGTGGTTCTC